TTCCTTTGCGTTGTCATTTATTATTGTTGTGTTATCACAAGGTTATTTCTGTTATCATGAAAATGATCAAAATATTAATACATACTGTAATAGTGTAAAGCTACAGTCCTACAAAATATGAGACAATATAGCAGAACAAAGTATTAAAAAACATTTTTATGTCAACATGAAACAAAAAATAATACAATTTGGTTATTAAAGATTATTTGTGAATACTAAAAATACCATGAGAATAGCTATGGTGAAAAATACAAGTAAAAATTATAGTACTGTACTGTAAACACATTTTATGAGGCATTGATGTTTGATTTCTAGTTGATATGATTTTCAGTGATGCTACGCAAGAATGTATCTATTAGTCCTAATCTTCACCAGCAGACTATCTTTTGCATCTAAGGCCATGTAAAATAAAATATTTGGTAAGCATCCCCTCCCAACCATCAGAGAGGCCACAGACACGATTTTTTTTTACAAAAGACCACTTGCAGTTCTATGCTCTACTGCTGTTCTATACTGTATCCTCATGGCATTGATGATGCCTATTGTGTTGGAGTGAATTGTGCGTGATTACAGTATATAGAGATAAATGGATTATGACTGTCATTATTACTATTTATTTATTATCTATTATTATTATTTATATATTTATTATTATGTATTATTATTATTTATTATTTATTTATTTATTGTTGTTACTATTGTTATTTTGTTGTTGTTATTCTGGTTATTCAAGGTAATGTATCTGCTTGCTATGAATGAATTATATAAATTCTTGTATGCAATTTTGGTCTCCGTTGTTTTCTTCTTTTTTTTTTTTTGGCTGTTTTTACTTGCGAGACTCTTTTTTTCATGTGCAATGCGAAAAGGAAAAAAAAAACCACCTCCCTCCCTACCATGAAAATTGATAACATAAGGATGCTAACCAATTTTTAAAATTTTACATGGCCTAATTGCTAAGCGCAAGACTGAATAGGCTGACATCAAAGGAAACCAAATCAAATTCAGGAGACACACTGTACTGATTGCTACAAATGAAGCTGAGTAAGGCTTCAAGGCTTGAGTTTAATTAAAGAGGACTCAATCAACCCATTCAGCTGATATTCATAAATGCTCATTAAAGCTTGTTGAAGAACTCTTATTACTCCCTGGAGTCCCAATCTGGTCTTTCCTTAAAAATTATCACATTAATTAGAATTAATCACTCGGTTGTCTTGTTTTTGCCATGACCATGGATGCTTCCAATTCTGAGGGATATTAGACAGCGTGTGAGTGATGTATTCTGGGGTATGTGTAGGATGTACTGCCACATTGGAGGAATCATTAACTGTGTTTTTTAGCTGGAACGATCACCTGAATACACTAAAAGAAGTTCATTTTTGCAGTGATTTTTTTCGGCTTGCCAAGTTCAGGTCGATTACCTTTAAATTTTAACATCTATATTTGCGTAACTGTACTAAAAGTTGCTTTTGTTTTAAACCAGGACACATAAAAGCACTAAGTAGACAAAGCCTTGATTCTTCTTTTTTTTTTTTTGTCCGACAAAATTTTCCATCCCTAATTTTTCATAGGGCCAATATAAAAGCAATGCTCATTAAATATCCATCATTTTTTGTAAGATAATCTTCCAAATACATAAATCAATAATATTACAGTACATTCCAAATCGGTAAAGATTGTTGTTCTGTAGACACATTATAATATTGGACTGAACTCATTTCCTATGTTATGTAGTCTAGTAATACAGTAGTCTAATATACAGTAGACAAAATTTTGCTTTTAATGGAGTCCATATATAAGCAGTGTAATATGCAATCTAACATTGTAAAAAAATATGTTGAAAAGTATGAAAATTTAAAATATGTGTACAGTTGTTTTTTTTTTTTGTTTTTTTTTTTTATATTGAAGGATTTTTTCTTGTAATGTATGTCTACAGTATATATTATCCAGATAGTAGTCCTAATTCCTTTCTGAGAAATCTTAATTCTCTCTAGTTCATTGCATTTTGTTTTTACTTAGTTAATTTCAAATTAAACAGTGAAGGTAGTTAGAATGCTCTATTAAACATTAAGCTTTTTAGTATATACATCTTTTCATTTCGCTTTAGTAGAAGTTATCTAGTTTTGTCCTTATTTAACTTTTATGTTAACAGAACCTATATTTTATAGTTACATATATATATTATTTTGTTAACATTTGGAAATCATGGTAACTTGATCAGTCAGTTTTTTTTTTTACTCTATAGTAGACCTAACTTAACTCATGGCTTATCATCAACCGTGCATTAATTTTTGCTGCTAAATGGTAAACATGGAAATAATATAAATTAGGGTGTGTTTATACTGATAAACACAAAATAATCAATTTTTTTAAAACTGCTTTTTTAATGAGTACCAGACAGCCTGCTCGCGTTGCAACTGCATTTTTGATTTTTCGAAAATCGGTTTTCGTGATAAATTACTTCACCATTTTGTTTATACAACACGTTGTTTTCCTAACTGTATAGGATAGTATCTTTCTCATTTCTGTCATGATGACGAGGAGTAAGATACAGTGTAGGGCGAGAAGGCAAATGTTTTTGGCTGTGCTCATCACGCACAATGAACGAGCGACCGTACGAGGACAACGGTAGGCCCAAAAGAGCGGAGAAGCCTAGGCCCAATATCCCCCACAAAATAATTACAAAACGAATTTGTCGCTCCACATGTTTGTTGACGTTTTTAGCTTGTAGGCCTAGGACACGAACAAGAGGACAAATTTTTTTGAAAGTTCGCACCTAGTACGATCTAGTCTTTGCAGTGATTGTCCTGGAGGTCACATTTCACCTGATAATCGCTTTTTTTGTGTTGCAGCTAAAAGGTGCACAGCCAAAATCGCTTATTTGCCGTACAAACATGCTATCCATTGCGTGTTTTTAATCAATTTTTTTTAATCGCTTTTTTCAAACTGGTCCCGTTTTTACTGCGAGAATAAAAGCGATTTTTCGGAAAAGCGATTTTTAATTGATTATTTCTTTCCAGTAGAAACAGGCCCTTAGTGAAAGCTCGAAAAGTGATGTTTCATGCATTATGTAATACTGTATTTTTGGCTTCATGTTTGTATTGTTTTTTTGTAATCTTTGTGCAATGTATATTGTAGACACAGGTACATACCTGTATTGTTTTAATATGTAAATTACATTGTAATTCATAATTCAGCTGTAAATCTACAATAATATTTTGAAATAAAACTTGAAATTTAACTTTAACTTGAGAAGTAAAGTCCAACCATAGAATCTTGTCCTTATGGCCGAGGAAGTTTAATTGAATGTGTGATAATTGTAATTTTTTGGAATAACCAGGGGAACATTTTATTTTTTTTTCTGTCATTGTATATCTTAACTTTGTAAACTTTTCCTGCCTCGTTTGAGTTCCAAACGTGGAAATGGAATGAATGTTTACTTTCTCTGAAGTGCAATTGTGAATTAATTAATTTGTTATAAAGCATTATTTGGAAAGATTATTTCAACACCTTGTAGTTTTTGAATTTAGACTTGACATTAATGAGGGTTACCTTCTAGTACACGGTAGCCTAATGTATGCGTTTCCTTGACATACTGTAATACACAGTCTTTTATTTTCAGTGTCCTTTTCCCAGAGGTATACTTTTTGTATTGACCTTTTAGTGACCAACAAAGAATGGGTCAATATTTTTAAAAATGGGTCCAAATTATGTAATTTTATGCATAAAATGGGTCCACTTTTTGAAAAATGGGTCCAGATTTCTCATATTTAGCCTAAAATGGGTAAAATTTAAGAAAATGAGTCCAGATTTTTCATATTTTTGTGTAAAATGGGCTCACGTTGTATGAATTTACGCCTTTACTGCAGGGCTGTAGAAAGTTGGTGGTCATGGGTCCGGGTCTTGAGTATTTTTTTATGGCTGCGCTAGCAAAAAATAAATTAAAACTATACCAACATTCAATAGGAGATATATAAGGGCTAGCAATTATTTTGGTAAAACTAGACCTTGGTCCAGCAAAAAAAAAAAAAACACTTTTTATGGCTCTGGTAAAGTGGGTGCACACTGATATTGTCCTGCACTGCTTGAAAATCCTGGCTATGGCATTGATACTCAGTCTGTAAATTTACAGTACGAAGATGTTTCTCTTTGTGGCGCCAGTAATGGCGTATCATTCAAGTTTTTGTCATGGAAACAACCTACTGTAGCCTACTGTAGGTCCTTAGACTCCTACATGTATGCATTTCATGATCATCTATACAGTATTCATCCTCAATCTTGGTCATTGGCTCAGTCATGCATTAATAATGAGGCTTTTACGTGAGTGAAACATATGCATGCGAATACGGTGAATCTTGGTTTGAATATCTCGGGAGATATACCTGTAACAATGTGTTACATTGGTTCTTTATCTGAATCTGGTTCAAGAAAGTGGTGTTCATGGTAATCAATGAATATCACTTAAAATTTGTGCTACATGTTACTTTAAATCACTAGTGGCAATGGAAATTTTGTAAAAAAACTTGTGCGGACTGTCTACCATCTTCAACTAGAAAATCTCTCTTTGTTACATCTAGATGCCAGTATACTGTATCTGTATAATGGAAGCGTAATCTTTTCACCATAAAAAGTTAAATCAAAAAATTCTCTTTGGCCCATGTTTATTCCTGCCCCCATAAACAAAACAAAAAAAACAATTGAATAAATCTAAGATAAATATATTAGAAACAGAAAAAATAAAGAGGATACTGTACATAAAAGAAACAAGAAATAGAAAAGAAAAAAGAAGTGAAAAAAAATCATAAAATAAGATAAAATTTATTGTGCTCAAAGCTGATAAGTTGCTGAGAGATTGGGGTTCACTGGAAGTGATAGCATGTTCCAAAATTTTCAGAACTCAAAGACAAGTTCCATGGTCTTTCACATTGGCATAACAAGTGTCTCATGTATTTAACTTTTTGTATAAGTTATTCAATTATTCTAATTGTTCTTTTATTTTTCAGGTGTTATTAACTGGTGGTGTTGGTCTTATAGCGTGGAAACAACCTTCTTCTTTGGCTGTAAGTATCAACAAGTAACATTTGAATTTCACAACCATTTTATGTTGTTTGTAATTTCAAGTTTAGTATTATATTTACATGTTTGTTCATATTTTATTTTTACTTTATTAAATTTCAATTATATAATAATTATTTTATTGTTATAAAGTGCATTATCACGTAACATAATTTTAATATTCCACTATAAATTATGGAAACAGATTTAAAACAAATAAGAAAACAAAGGTCTGCTTTACTCCTGATTTTTACCAGTCTTCTTGTGGACAGGCTGTAAAAAAGGTTCACGCTATGTTCCAAAATTTAATGCAAGTCGGCTACGGCCCGTTTCTTTGTTTCAGGCATACAAGATCAGGCCCATCCTTTGCAATACTCCCTTGCTATAGGGTTAAACCTTTGTCCTTCACTAAAAACAAAGAGAAGACTTTCTCTGAATTAGGTATGCAGTGCTAAAATTACAATATGATTATAATTTTCTGGGTACAAGCCCATCCCCCCCCCCCAATTTTGTTTTGCAGTGCTAAAATTACAATATGATTATAATTTTCTGGGTACAAGCCCATCCCCCCCCCCAATTTTGTTTTCTGAGGGGTTTCGCTATACCAGAGGATTATGAAGAGAATCACAAATTGCTAGAACTGGTGAGTGAACATAGTGTGCTGGTTTGGTGCAGCGGTTGTAGTTCTGCTTCCCAGTCTTAAGGTCAGAGGTTCAATCACTATGTGCATTTTGCTTGTGTCCTTGGGCAAGGTGCTTTACCTATGGCAGTCTCTCTCCACCCAAGAGTACAAGTTTACCTACCTGGTAGGTTCAAACATAAAGTGCACTGATTATAGCTGCAACATTATGGAATTATCCTCAGGGACCTAAATATGTGTTCCATGTGTTTGATCCAGTGACTGACGTTAATAATGTTAAGGGCATATTGAGGACTCTACAATAGGCGCTAAAAGTCAACCATATAATATTATTTAATGAAACTCCCTGAGTGACCACTTTTTCACCTATTCCATGAAAAGACTCAGTAAATAACATATTTTATGGTTCATGGGTATGTTGTGAATTTTAATTGTCCATATTACAAAATGATTTGCCATTCAGGCATGTGAAGTACATGCTAAGAGCACAATGGGTCAGGACTGATTGAATGCTATGGTACTAATATGTCTACAGACATATAAAGGTTACATACTGTAGATGAGGTGATCAATATGGTAGCATAAGTAACTCTCACTATTTATTAACTCCCTTTCCGAAGTGTGCGATTTAATGAGAGATATATTGGAATATATTTAGGTTTTATAAATCACCTACTTAATAATGTTTGTTAATAGTGAAACCAATGAATATATTATTCCAAGTTTTGACATTGAGTATGTGTTGAGACTTAGCTCTGTCTACACTATCATATTTTCTGTTGTATAGTATGCCTGTCATGATTTGCCTATATTTGGTCATGATGTGATGTCATCACGACTATATTTAGGCATGTCAAATACAATTTTATTGTAAGGGTAGGCCTTAAGACTATTACATAGTTGTAATGAGTTTGTTTTATCCAGATGTTCTTCCTACATTTTGAATTTATTATTGTTGACATGATTTAGTCTTGCTATCGGTGTGCAAGGTACTAGTGAAAAAACTGAGTGGAAATCATTCATGTTTGTTTTATAGTGACATATTTAAAGCCGGATATCAAAGATGCATTATAAATATTAACAGAAATAATACACGTACTGTATTTCCTAGACCTGTATCTTTTAAAAATGCTATGGTACTCTGTCAAACTGTGGCTATACTGTATGTACATAACCTCAGCATTTAATGTATATTGGTAGCTTGCCTCTCCGTTAAAAAAACATCAACTGCTAATGATCATTGAGGGTGTCTAACCAGTACTGTGGGGTCAAATTACAATAATGCAATAATATTATAACTTAAAAAGGGATAATTACTGTAGTATTTAATTGGACAAAAATTAAATTAAATGTATTATATTAAAAAAATGCTAATGATATTGTTATATAGATTAAATTATTAATTATAATTACTATGATGCTGTTTTATAAAAATAGTTTTAATGTTGCTACCATCAAGTTTTGTAGTCTTACGGTACTACAGTATTCACATACATTTTTGATTTGTAGGAAATGACTTTAATAAAATAATACCGAAATGATTCAGTATTCCATTGAGTAACATCCTTTAAACATTTCCCAATCTTCAGAAGAAAAAAAATTCTTCAGTTCAAAAGATTCGTAGTAACACATTATTTTGGAAGTCTATTAATTGCCTTGTTATCATTCATCTTTGACTAGGCTTTCATTTCAGACTTCCTTTTATTAATTAATTTTTAGCCTCGTCATTAATTAGCCTCATTTAATTTTAAATAACCAGTTGGTGGTATCACTCATTTCTGCTTATATAGCTAAACCTAGTAATTTTACAATACCCTCATTTTGAAATACTTTAATCTAGATTTGAATTGCTTTCATTGAATTAGCTTTTAAGTAAAATTAAGAATGAAAATTTTTAGTTAGCAGTATTAATACTGTTTTAGTGTTTTTGTAATTTTGCATTTTAAATTGGCTGGTACTGAATATATTTGATCATTTTGATTTGATTTTTTCTAGTATTTATCACAGTTTATCATATTTTCCTTGATTTTGTAATAGTATATTTTCAATACTGTAAATCATCTGTCGACATACCACATGAATTTCCCAAATTCTATCATTAGTCTTTTAATCAAATCTATGGCGACTTTAATGAAATATTAATTTTTATTATAAGTGTATGATATTCTGGCTTTGTAAGCCGGGTTATTGACCAAGTCTCGGCAGTTACGGCTGAATTAAAAGTTCTAAATTTAGAAAGATTTTGAAAACGGCAGATATTAAGAAAATTATAAGGTTGTCAAGCATATAATTTATCTCTTCAACCTTGTTAAATTTTAGTTATAGTTGACCTTCAATAACTTGTAACCTTTTAGGTTGTTACAGTATTGATGGCATATTCTACTACCTAGACCTTTATTAAGTTTATTTACATATTGAAACTCAGAAATAGATAGTTTCTCTTTGAAAGTGTGAAGTGTTTTATTGATAAAAAATTTTTGTATAATGAATAATCCTGAAGATGACTACACAGAATCTAACTCTGCTGCCTCTGAGTATTCGATGGCAGGCTGAGCAGATTGTCATTACAACGATTCTTTGCATGCATCTCACGTTGCATCTCCATGGAATCGCGTCAGCCAACAACCGGCGGGTGCAGGCTTTACAAATGATTAATTATAAGGAAACATAATGTATAATTTTAAATAAAAAATGACACTTTTACAGTAGTGTACTAGTATTTATAGTACAGTACATAAACCATCTAGCGTACAATAATAATTTAATAATTAAATAAATAAATAAATATATAAAATCATATCGTATAATCAGATTATTTAGGATTATTTGTTAAAAATTTTTACACCTGTTTGATTGAATGGGCTAAAATGTTACTATTTATTTAGCAATATACTGTTTACCCGATCTGTGCAACCTAAAATGTTACAAGGAACGTGTGCTAGAGAAATCTCCGCATGAAGTCACATCCATGATAGATTAGCACACAACCAAGAGGCTAGAATAACCGACAGCGCAGAATCTGGGCACATGCTCAGAGGTGCAGCTCATCTTTCACGATAGCGTCACATGGTTTCACTGTCTGCGTATCATGTGGATGAAATTTAACATGGTCTGAATTTACTTGTATGAAGACCATGATGGTTTTGAAAAATATATCTCATCTGTAACATTTGACACATGTGACACACTTCGTTTAAAATTTTGTCTGAGGGAATTGTAAGAAGAAACTACATTTTTTGAATTAATGGAATCTTCTTCACTCATTGGGTATTTTCAATGGGATGTGCAGACTTCTCTACCCAGAATTATAATGTAATATTATGAGAGATACCCACTTTGTGTTGGGCTTTGCGTATCTTGATTATTACCATAAAACAAAAGGCATACACATCTTGTCACTGTCAAAATTTAACTTAATACAGTGAAAAAAATTGTATGGATTCAATATTAGTGATTTTATATGAATGGTGAGCCATACTGGGTATAATCAAATCATCCATATTAAATCCACATTGTGTGTTGTTTTTTACAACCCCACTTGAATAGCCTTTTGATTACTTAGGCTTACCTCATTGCAATAGTATGCAATTTGAATTTGGTCGGTGCAGACAGGTAAAATCGTGCGATGATTTCACCTACTAGGCTTACAAATCGAATCCTTGCGTCTTTGAAGCAGGTCTAGATAGGCTTAAAATATTCTTATTTAGTGTTCAGTTTTTTAAGTTTGTTAGGGTCCATTGATTTAATGAATTCCTTAATGTTTTCCATACATAATATTGAATTTGAAGTGACTTTCTTCAGGTTCTTATAGGCTACCTTGTTTTACGAATGTCATTTTTTCAATACCACTTGTCAACAAACAAGGATTGGGTGGGGTGTCTGTCCTTCTTTCCGCAGACACGCGTCGTAGGTGTAAAACCACTAGCCTAGAATTCATCGCAGTGCGCAATATGTACAAGTTGAATTGTTATTTTGCACACAAACCTAAAAAGATCAAGTTAACCGTGCACTATATGAAAAATTATATATCAATCAATCAATAATTCTATTAATTTGATTGGGTGAAAACAGGTCATGTGCGATTGATTGAAAATGACTATTCCATGGTTATTTTAGTACTAGTCAATGATCGTTGAATAGTACTTTTTCACCTTTATGAAAGTTAATTATTACAACTTGTTGATTATAAAAATACATGTCGTTTGTTTATGCATGAAAATAATATACAGAAATATTATGATTATTACAATTTCTTTGCGATTTTATATTTTTTCACTAGATTATTAATAATAGGTTATTTTGTTCCCAATGATATGGTTTATAATAACAGGATAGATGTTCTTTCTGCAGTCACTACAAATATAA